AGAGCACGTGTATAAAATACCTGGCCTGTTGTCTAATTCATCACAGGCTCTGGGAGTGTCCTGTTGTCTAATTCATCACAGGCTCTAGAAATGTGAGTTGTAGTATGTTTCAACAGCCTGTCTCTTTGGGCTCCAGGCAAGGTTAATGGCCTGCATGTCCTCCTGTCTCTGGGCCCTTGCCCATGCCCATCACCCTGCCTGCAGTAGTGGGAGACATTTCAAGGCCACCATCTTGTTTTGGCCATTTCGATACAGCTGTTTTGATATATTAAACTATGTTTTGGCTTTTGGCACAGAGACATTATATTTTGGCCTTTTAAAAAATCATTAATTAATCATAATCATTTTACTTTCTGAAATTTTTATTTATCAAGTACTATGAAAAACATAATCTCAGCACTGAAGTGAGGGCCAGTGTTGGAGTCAGGAGACAGAGGTGGACAAGCTATGAATGACCAAGAGGGATTTCGTACCAGCTTGCTCACTCTGTAGAGGGCTGTTGAGTAATTTTAAGCAAAGCATCTGTTCATTGCCTGGAAATTCACTTTGAACTTGAATGATTAGCCTCCCAAAGTCTCAGCTTTTTCACTTAAAATTAAACGTACTGGGTAGAAGAGAGGGGGAGCTTGGGTCATAATGGGATCCATTATTATCCACTCCAGACCAACACAGAAAATCTTCCACAACCTTCCCAAGAGTTCTTTACACTCTCGATAATAGACATGTTATGTTTAAATTCCATAAATCTCTTTATCATGATGGTTTGGAGGGAGAGGACTGATACCCCCTTAAAAGCTAAGCTAATTATAAAAGACTTTTAAAAACTATCTGTTTTTCTTATTATACGAGTAATACAATATTCATTTTATTTTATTTTATTTTTTTTATTTTATTTTTTTTTTTTGTCTTTTGTCTTTTTCCGTGTCCGGCAACGGATTGCAACCCTCAGTGTTGCCCCCGTACCGGACCGGGGACCGGCAACGGGATTGCAAACCTCGGTGTTGCTCCCACGCCTCGCTCAGCCAGTGAGCGGGAGCCGGTCTGTATGTGGGATCCGAACCCTCGGACGGGAGCGCCGCCTCGCTTCCCAAGCGGCGCACTATCCAGTGCGCCACTGGGCCGGCCCACAATATTCATTTTAAAAATCCCAAAATGATGCAGAAATGAATGTCATAGAAAGTGAAACCGCTGGTGACTAGGAATGGAATGAAGATCAGAGCATCTGAGCTGTGCATTACTTGGAAACTTATTCCCAAGTAATAATGTATTCCCAAGCACAGAATAGGTCCTTTGTAGCACCTGCATTGGGTTTAGATTTATCATGTCGTTTCCAAATAAGTTCACACATCCAGTGGCAGAAGCTCATTACCACTCCACTTTCATTGTTAAACACTTTAATATATCACTAGGGCTATGATTCTATTTTCACATTTCTTCCTTTTAAAAAATCACCAGAGCCTCAAAAATGAAAAGCTTTGTAAGCTTCTCTTGTCCTAGAAAGGGAAAACTCTGACTTCCAGGAGACCCTGCCTCAGAATTGCCCCTGTTGCAAAAAAATGTCTCTGCAATTGCAGAATATCCTGTTTTAGACTGGAAAGCCCCAATCCTTACCCGATTCTGTCATAGGTGCTTTAGTCTCAGCTCAGAGGAGTTTCCTGACCAGTACAGACAGGGTCAGGGACCCCAGGGACATGTAGCACCCTGCATGTCATTGCACAATCCCTCTGTTGCCTCTTTCCAGGGTCTTGTACTCGTACAGGTGCTGGTCCTAGCGAGACCCCAGTCAGCACCATTCTGGCCCAACCTGAGAATTCACGTATCTGCCACCCACACCATAAATGTGCATTTGGGTTCAAGCACTTTTTAGTGGAGATGTTGGGTTTGTGGGGTTATTTTCTCAGCAGGATCTAGTGAACTGGATGTTGTCAGCTATTAAAACAAACCAAACCCACCAAATACGCTGTGAAATATAAAACACATTGACCAATCAGACAATGAATTAAGTCCAACCAACCCAAACTCATTGAAGCCTCAACCCCAGGCTGGTCACACACAGAGGTGCTCACACATCAGGCTGTTGGTTTAGCCAGGTGTCACAATGCTGTTAACTGACCAGTGGGAATAGCCCATTCAGAGCCACACAGGTCAGCTAAAAGTGACACCCATAGTTAGCAGTGAATAGTAAAATAGTAAATTATTATCATGCAAGGAGACAATGTTGCAAAGTGGTTTAATAGAATGAGTCTGGATCCTGGCTCTGGGCAAGTCACTAAGTCACAGATTCCTGGCTGTAAAAGGGGGTGATAAACTCAGCCCTGCAGGGGTGCTGCAGAGATCTTAAGAGATCATGTTTATAAAGCAAGCAGTGCCTGACTCAGTCAGTACTGTTGAAGGGTAAATTGTATTACCAACAAAACATCTCAAAGCCAGAAATTTTATGGGAAGCATGGAAAATTTAAACCAAGATATGCAAGTGATGCCAACTCAATGATAGAAATATGACCATTTTGCAACGAGCACGGTAATGATTTAGGAAAGATCATCAATGAATACCAAAACCATAGGTGAAAGATTGTGGGAGAGGAAGACACTTCCACATGCTCAGGTTACTTATTTTTTTTGCTCGCTTGGAGTTTTTTGAGGGGAGGGAGTTTACTTATTAGTAATCACAAAGAAAAAAATGTCCTTTTACAATGGAAAGATCTTGAGGACACTTGGATATTATCTCAGTCTAGTAATGAAGAAACAATCACACAAATCTAAATTGAGGGATAGGGCCGGCCCGTGGCTCACTCGGGAGAGTGCGGTGCTGATAACACCAAGGCCCCGGGTTCGGATCCCATGTAGGGATGGCCGGTTAGCTCACTTGGCTGAGCGTGGTGCTGACAACACCAAGTCAAGGGTTAAGATCCCCTTACCGGTCATCTTTTTTAAAAAAATAAATAAATAAATAAAAAATAAATTGAGGGATATTCTGCTTGGACTGGACTTTTAAAAAAACCTTAATGTCTTGAGAGAAGAAGAGTCTGGGAAAGTGTGAAAATGTAGATAAAAAGAGACTATAGGCACTGGACAAGTAAAAGCAATACGTGGTCTCTTGACCTAGGGTTGAAAAAAACAGCTATGAGGGACATTATCAGGAAAATGGGGAAATTTGTTTAGGAGTGATTATAGTGTTTTAACAATGTTACTTTTCTTGGGCATGATAACTGTATTGTGATTATTTAAAATAATATCCTTGTAACCTCCTTATTCCTGGTATTTAGGATATCTAGGGTATTTGGAGTTATATTGGATAATGTTTTCAATTTATTACCAAACTGTTAAAAAAAAAAGTGCACATGGGTGTATATGAGAGAGAGGGAGAGAGAGGAAAAAGCAGAAAGAATCATAAAATGTAAACAGTTGGTGAAATAAAGGGTGTGTGTGTTCATTGTTACTATGCTCTCCATTTTTCTGTGGGTTGAAATTTTTCAGAACAAAAGGTTGGGGACTGCTATGGGTCAAATATGTCCCCCCAGAATTCATATGTTGGAGACTTGACTACCACTGTAAGTGTTAAGAGGATGGGAAATCCTATTATGGTATTTGAAAGGTGGGGCCTTTGAGAGGTAATTAGATTGTGAGGACTAATGTGTGTGGTTCTTTTTTTTATTTATTTATTTTTATTTATTTTTTTAAAAGATGACCAGTAAGGGGATCTCAACCCTTGGCTTGGTGTTGTCAGCACCACGCTCAGCTAGTGAGCAAACCGGCCATCCCTATATAGGATCCGAACCCGTGGCCTTGGTGTTATCAGCACCGCACTCTACCCAGTGAGCCACGGGCCGGCCTGTAATGTGTGTGGTTCTGATGGCTTTATAAGGACAGTGAGTGAGCAGGTCAGCTCTCTTTTGTTCAGCCCCTTCTCGCCATGTGATATCCCAGTGTCCATGGAAACCTGCAGAGATTTCCACCCAGGAGAAGGCCCTCACCAGATGATCATGGACTTCCCAGCCTACAAACTGTAAGAAATAAATTTCATTTACCCAGTTTCAGGTATTCTGTTATAAGAACAGAAATGGACTAATACAGGGACAAAAGTCAGTATGCAGAATGACAGAGTAGGTAAGTGAGGTGGAAGTGAGCTCACCCCACCTGTAACTTCCATCAGCTTCAGAGTCACCTCTGGGGCCCCCACGGGGCTGTGAGCTTCAAAAGACACCTGTGCCTTTTTGCCCTGTGTCTACGGCATCCAGGCACAATGTCCAGAACATGTGTTCAGTTGATGTGCATAGGAGACCACTCTGCTTCCAGGGATCGAGGGCCGAGTCAGCTCTGGGAACAGACAAATCAGGCCGGTGGTCCTCGGCATCACGCTTTGAGGACTTTGTTTTGTTGGAAGGACCAGTCAACTGGAACTGCAGCCCCAGTGGTGACACCAGGGCTTGTCCTCTGGCAGTGCCCTTGGGCAGGAAAGGGCAAAGCTTCCGGGGCTTGCTGTCTACCCCTTCCCCCTGCCATTGGCTCTGGAGGGTCCATAAAACCCCAAGAGTCTGGAGAACAGTTGGCCAGAGGGGTTGACCCTCAGCATGGTCCTCTCCAGTGTGGGACCATGGGCTCTGTTCCCACCCACCCCCTCTGCCAGTCCTGTATCCTGGGAAGAAGAGAGAGTGGATGGAGAGTCAGGAATCTAATCCCTGACCCTTCCTTACAGACTTGCCCACCTCTCTGCAGTTCAGAGTGGAGTTGAGAGCTGGGGGTTTTGGGGGCTGTGTGTCTGGCAAGGCATTGAGCCCTCCCAGCTGGAAAAACCTCTGAACCCACAAGAAGAAACCAGAGCCAACACTGACTCACCCTTACCCTTAGTCTCAATTCCCACTAATGCACGGGCGTTTCCTGTGCCTTTTCCGTTATTTCACAAGCTGCCTGTTCTTGTGCACCCTCGGGGCTCCAGGACAGAGGGCGTTTTCTCCTGCCAGAAGCCAGACAGCTGGTTCTGGTCTCTCCTGGTCAGCGCCATGGCCAAGACCCCAAGTGACCATCTGCTGTTTACCCTGGAGGAGCTGGTGCCCTACGACTTTGAGAAGTTCAAGTTCAAGCTGCAGAATACCACCCTGGTGAAGGAGCAGTCACGGATCCCCCGGGGCAAGCTCCAGACAGCCAGGCCGGTGAAGTTGGCCACTCTGTTGGTCACCCACTACGGGGAGGAGTACGCTGTGTGGCTGACTCTGCAGGTCCTGCGGGCCATCAACCAACGCCTCCTGGCAGAGGAGCTCCAAAGGGCGACTGGCCAGGGTGAGTGGACCCAGGCCCCCTCCTTGCCCAGCGCTGACTGCTGGGTGCTCCTTGGGCTGCAGAGGGAACGCATGCTCAGATCAGTGCACCGGACTCGGAGGTTCCGAGTCCGGGGTCCACCATGACCCAAGTGACTTTGGTCAAGCACATCCCTTCCTTCACTCTGGCCTTTGGAGATGGGTTAGTAAAACTCTCTAAAGCTCCTAATGCCAAAAAAAAAAAGGCTGAGATTGTGACTGCGGTTTAGGACCAGGAGAGGAAGTGTCTCCGGTTTAATAAAAACAGTGATATCAACAGTGCTGACACTTCATAAGGGTATTTAAAATTCTCAATTGGTCTTCTTTTCCCTCTTTTCCTCTGTTGCTTCCTCTCTTTTCTTTCCTTCCTTCCTTCTTTTTTCTTTCTTTTCTTCCTTTCTCCCTCTCTTCCTTTCTTCCTTCTTTCTCCTTCTTCTGCTGCCCTTTTCTTGTAAGTTTCTGATTTTATTACACTGAGATGAAGGAATCTGGCCTGTTTGATTTCTGCTTGTAAGGATTTTTTTTGGAAATTTGAGGTGGGGAGGACCTAATACATGGTCAGTTTAGTAAAATCCTATTTGACGTTTGTATCTTTCTTCTATTTCTAGACTTTAAGACTACATCAGAAATGCTTTCCCTGTATTTATATGAGGTAGAACAGTTTAAATAACATAAAAATTATCTATTCTTTGAAAGAGTAATAGAGCTTAAACCATAACCTGAGTTTGGTAAAATTTGATGAATAGAATTTTAAAATTACTTCTTCATGTTCTAAAATCTGGTTGTTAGCATTTTCAGGGTTTTTCTCCAGTTCTTGAGCCAGTTTTGGTAATTTACATTTTCCTACAAAGCCAACAGCATACTATTTTAAACAACTTTAAAGTAATTTTAATAAAAGCTTCTTCGAACCAAAAATTAAGATGCTAATTACAGGTTACTTTCATTTCCTTATTAGAGACTAGTGGTTTTCAATTTTGTCCAGGAAGATATTTCGAGATTCTTTAGAACGTTAACAAATACTTGATTCAAATTTTATGAATTTTTTTACTTACAAAACTAGTTAACAAATTCATATTAGAATGTATCAATAACCAAAGTTTAAAATATTGGAGGCCACCAGTGTGATAGCTCCTGGTGTACTTGAAGTCCTTTTTATATATACCTTGGAATTAAGCCTTTCCTGTCATTTCTATACAGTATACTGAAGTTTCCAGGCAAGCTGTTTTTAAAGATTACCATTTACACTTATTTATCTGTGTGAGTTCACAGAACTCACAAAAATGCAGAAATAAATTAGCTCCTGAGGGTTTATATCTTGCATTATCCCTTATTTCAAATTTTTGTGCTGATCAAACACTTTAATTCTTCTTTACTGACTGATTTTATAATAAGTGAATTCTGTACCTCTATAACCATACAGAAATTCATACCAATAAAATAGAGTTTTTATTTATGTTTTGGAGTTCTAAGATTTTTTTTTTTTTTTTTCAGCTGGCCAGTACAGGAAGATCTTATTTGAAACAAGTTCTTGGCTGGCAGGTTAGCTCAGTTGGTTAGAGTACTGCCTTGTAACACCAAAGTCAAGGGTTTGGATCCCCTTGCTGGCCAACTGCCAAAAAAATTTTTAAAAAAATTATAAAACAAGTTCTCCTGTTTGAAAAGTACTATTTGAGAAATATATAGCAAATAATTAGTACATTCTTACTTAATGGTTGTTGACTGCTGTCTCCTAGAATGTTCTCACCCTTAACCTGTCTACTTTCTGGGGGGATTCTCTCTCCTCTCCCTTCCCCTGACCCTTGGCCCCGAGCCTTTGTATCTGGTTGTCTTTTCAGAATATTCCACACAAGAAAGTGGCACAGACATTTCTGCAGAGTCGTGTTCTTCCGGGGAGAATAAACCCAAGAGCCTGAAGATACCAGCTGGCCCAGAAGGTGATGGGCAGCGGCTGAGTGGAGATGGGGCGGCCAGCCTACTGTCCAGTCAGCCTGAGGCTGGGCGGGGGCCCCTGAAGAAGTCTCAGGACAAGCGGAGAGAGCAGAAGGGCCCCGAGGGCCTGGACGCACAAGGCAAGCCATGGGCCAGGAGAAGCCCGGTCCCTGGCAAGCCGCTGGGGGACATTAAGGCAAGTGCCGGGCTCCGCAGGAATGCCAGCTCTGCAGGAAGGCTTCAGGGGCTCTCCAGTGGGGCCCTGGGACGGAGGGAATCCAAAAAATATGAAGTGTACTTACCTTCAGGAAAGAAGCGACCCAGAAGTCTTGAATTTACCATTTCCTCAGAAGAGAGAGAACCCCCAGACCCAGAAACTCTTCTGACTCAAGAGGAAATGAGAACTGTGAATCTAGACTCAGCAGCCACTCCCAGGGGAGACAACACTCTGGATGTAGGGGCTGCTGGGGCTCTGGAGAAAGGTTTCAGGAACCCAGAACATTCTGTGGTCCCAGAGGGGGGATCATTCAGGAACACACTTTCCAATGCATCTTTGGATGGAGAGGAGAAATCCACTGCACTCTGGGAGGAAAATGGAATTGGGGGTCCAGAGACCCCTGAGACCTTGCGGGAGACAGCAGGTGGTGTGCTCCACAGGTCTTTGAATCCAGAAGTCCCTTCCTCTTCAGGTAAGAAAGGGCCCAGAATTCAGAAGACCTAGTATCCTTAGGAATGGTGGCCTGTGTAGGTGTTTCCCCCCAAATTTCCTTTAGCCCCCACTGTGTTCATATTCCTAGGATACCTGGGTGCCTCCTGGGGTCCCTTTGCGAATCTGATGCAGGCTTTGAATTGAACCCTGAAAAAATTTCACAAAACGTTGCACAACTTCACAAAACGTTGCATCAAATTTCAGTTAGTTCTTGGATACTCAACTCCTTTTTTTTTTTTTCCTTTTTGTCTTTTTTTCGTGTCTGGCAACGGATCGCAACCCTCAGTGTTGCGCCCGTACCGGACCGGGACTGGCAACGGGATCGCAGCCCTCAGTGTTGCACCCGCACCTCGCTCAGCCAGTGAGCGGGAACCAGTCTGTATGTGGGATCCGAACCCTCGGCGGGAGCACCGCCGCACTCCCAAGCAGCGCACTGTAGCAGTGCGCCACCGGGCCGGCCCTCAACTCCTTCTTTAGAATCCAAGGGCTTCATAGGCCCAGGTTGCGAATCTGGGAGAGGAGGGGTGTATCAATCTGTTTCCATTGCTTATAACAAAATGCACAGAACTGGGTGATTTATTAGAAAAACTAAATGTATTGCTTACCGTTTCTGAGGCTGGGACATCCAAAGTCCATCTGATGGTGGTGACAGTGACCCAGGGGTCTCAAACTGCAAGATGGTGGAAGCAGAAAGAGCAGAGAGAAAGGTTCACCTTTTTCCTCTGTCTTTTGTTCTCTCTGAGCCCCCAGCGTATTGGATGGTTCCTGCCCACATTGAGGGCTGGTCTTTTCCACCCAGTCTACTCAGGCTCTCATACTAATATCTGTTGGAAACACCCTCATGTACACACCAAAAAAGATAGCTTTACCAGGTTTCTTGGCATTCCTTCATCTAATCAAGTTGACACCTAAAATTGACCGTTACAGGGGGTAAAAATTCGTCCTGTCATAATAGCCTCATGGTGGTAGGTCATGGGGTCCAGATTCTACCATTCCTCTTTCTCTGGGCAGGGAGGGGGCCTATTAGCTAAAATCCCAGGTCTCTGTTACTGATGAGATGGTCACTAGGATTATATTGGTTGTGAATACCACAAACCTCAAAATAACAGAGCCTAAGCAAGACAGAGGTTTATTCCTCTGGGCCCAGGACCCCTGGCTCCTGCTGTTTCTCTGTTCCGCCAAGATTCCTCTCAGGCTCTTGGTCTCTGAGGGTGACATCCTCATTCCAGGCAGCAGAAGGAGGGACAAAAGGCAAGAGTATTGCTTAGGGAAGGTATCTAGATGTTTCTAGAAGCTCCTCAGCACCTCTCCATTGACATCCCTTTGAACAGTATGTAGCCAAATGGCCTCATCTAACTGCAAGGGAGGCTGAAAAATGTAGGTTTTGTGGGGAGAGTTGGGAGGTGAGCAAGCAGCCATAGAGACAGCAATTAATTGCTACATACTGGCCAAGGGATGTAAAGGGAGATGTCCTGAGCAGCTTCTAGAAACTTCTAAATACCTTCGCTAAGCAATACTCATGCCCTTTGTCCCTCCTTCTGCTGCCTGGAATGAGGATGCCACCCTCAGAGACCAAGAGCCTGAGAGGAAACTTGGCAGAACAGAGAAACAGCAGGAGCCTGGTGTCCTGGCCCAGGGAAGAGGAATAAACTCCTGTCTTGCTGAGGCTCTGTTATTTTGGGATTTGCGTTATTCACAACCAAATATAATCCTGAACTAACGGACTGAGTGTGTTTCTATTCTTGTATCTCCTGTCATTTCTGCTTTATGAAGCTGCTGCTATATAGTTTTGGGGCAGAGCTAATAACTGTTATGTCATCCTGGTGACTTAAGTTGCTTGTTTGTTTGGTGGCTTGCCAGTACAGGGATCAAACCTTGGACCTTGTTGTGAGCACCACACACTAACTGAGCTAACTGGCCAGCCCTAAATTTTAGTTGTTTTTCATTTTTTGTCATGGTGAGTTTAACTTTATAAGGTCACCTTCTTTGCTTTCATTTAATGCTCCCTGAACTTGGATGTGAGCAGTGGTCCATTTGTTCCTTCCTTCAACACACTCTTTTTTTTTTTTTAAAAGATGACCGGTAAGTGGATCTCAACCCTTGGCTTGGTGTTGTCAGCACCACGCTCAGCCAGTGAGCGAACCGGCCATCCCTATATAGGATCCGAACCCGTGGCCTTGGTGTTATCAGCACCGCACTCTACCGAGTGAGCCACGGGCCGGCCTCAACACACTCTTTCTGATTGCTTACCATGTACCAGCTACTCTGCTAGGGGATCCCATGATGAGCAAGGCACCCAAGTCACCAACCTCTGAGAACTCCCACTTGAGTTGTGGGTAGCCTGGGGTGTGTTAAGTGGCAAAGCAAACACTGATTGGAATGTTTTGCTCTCTTTCATGTCACCTGCTAGATCTTTGTCTGTGCAGGAGGAAGACACAGGGTTTATAGCAAAAGGCCATGGGTCTTTCTTGAGAATAAATGCCTGGGGGCTGGTCAGTTAGCTCAGTTGGTTAGTGCACAGCTTTGTTACACCAAGGTCAAGGGTTCAGTTCCCCATGGCCAGCCACAATAAATAAATAAATAAAATAGAGTAAATGCCCACAAATTCCAAGTCTTAATAATTTCATGAGGTCTAGCCCTGAGCTCTCAGTCCCAGTGGCATATTCACTGCCTTCCTGGGTGGACGTTGAGGGAGGACGAGCTAGGAAGTGGCCGAAGTCTCACCAGAACTCATGCGTCCCAGGCACTTGGTGGTACCTCTTTGTGCACGTCTTGGGTTTGCCACTCAGAAGATTTTTCCATTGCCTTGTTCCCAGGGAGGCCACAGGACAAGGCTGTATGTTCCTTTTGCCACGTTCAGGGAGGAGACCCGGTTGGAGGTACCTGCGTGCACAATTCCTGCAGCTGCCCTGTTGCTTCTGAAGACCCCAGTGCCTCAGGCAGTCCCTTGCCCAGCTGCCCCCGGTGCCAGGGCTCACTCATGAGGAAGAGCTCCGGAAGCCTAAGCCCCCAGCCCTTGCCTCACTGTAAGCGCCACATGAAGCAGGTCCAGCTGCTCTTCTGTGAAGACCATGGGGAGCCCATCTGCCTCATCTGCAGGCTGAGTCAGGAGCACCAAGGTCACTGGGTGCACCCCATCGAGGAGGCCGCCTTGGAATACAAGGTAGGTGCCCCCTGCCTGGGGGCCTTTCTCTGCCAGTCACTTGGACACTCCAGGCCTTGCTTCATTTTCCCAGCAACTCTGGGATGTTGGTACATTAACCAGTACTCTTGGGCTGTAAGTGGCAAAAAAACAATACAAACCAGGCCAGTAAAGAGGGGATTTACAGGCCAGCCCGGTGGCGCACTCGGTGGAGTGCGGCGCTTGGGAGCACGGTGGTGCTCCTGCCGAGGGTTCGGATCCCATGTAGAGACCAGTCCGCTCACTGGTTGAGCGCGGTGTGGGCGCGACACCGAGGGTTGCAATCCCGTTGCCGGTCATGAAAAAAGACAAAAAGAAAAGAAAAAAAAAGAGGGGATTTACTGGTTTATGTTGCTCAGAGGTCAAGGGGGATCTGGCCAGCTTCAGGTATGGCTGAATCCAGGGGCTCCTAAGTGGTTATTAGGACTCTCTCTCTGTCTCACCACCTCTTGGCTCTGCTCCCCTGGTGATGGATTCCTTCATACTCTTTCCTGAGCACCTCTCCTATGCTCTTGGGTGTAGCACCTTCAGCTTTGCTCCCAAATGCAGATTTTCCCTTCTAGAATTGGCATCTGTGAAAGATGGCAGGAGCCAAGTTTAAGCTCTTCAACAAGTGCTCTTTTTCCAGGAGCAAATTGAGAAGCAGCTGGAGCATCTGAAGAAGCTGAGAATATCTGGGGAGGAGCAGAGATTACAGGGTGACGAGAAGATGGCAAACTTCCTGGTAAGGCCCGGGGCGTCCTGTGTCTAGTCCTTGCCCATTCATGCCTGCAGAATGAGGGAGGGGACAGGGAATGACAGGGGTCCCCAAGACTCTGCTCTGGTTCACAGTGCAGCAGGGATGGTCACCTGCTTGGGGGGTGAGGAGAAGGAGGTGACCAGCATCCAAGCGTGAGCCCATCCCCGGAGAGGGAGACTACCCCCAGCAGGGAGGGGTCTTCTCTGAGGACCCTGTCACACTTTCTCATACCACAGAATGGTTTAGAGAAACTAATGCCCACGGGATTAGTTTGGGATTGAGGAAAGGGGAGGAGAGACTTTATAACTTTAAATACTTTTCTGTATTGTTCTTATTGGTGTTCTCAGGGTTTTTTTTTAAAAAACCATATTGATTTTTTAATATTCAAATGGTTAAAACAGACTTTTTTTGGTGTATGGCCTTTTACTAATTTCTCACTTAGCCCCTTCCCCTTCCCCCACCTCTGGTAACCTCAGTTCTGTTCTCTCTCTCTTTTTTTTTTTTTTTAAAGATGATCGGTAAGGGGATCTTAACCCTTGACTTGGTGTTGTCAGCACCACGCTCACCCAGTGAGCTAACCGGCCATCCCTATATGGGATCCGAACCCGTGGCCTTAGTGTTATCAGCACCGCACTCTACCGAGTGAGCCACGGGCCAGCCCCAGTTCTGTTCTCTCTCTCTTTTTTTTTTTTTTTAAAGATGATCGGAAAGGGGATCTTAACCCTTGACTTGGTGTTGTCAGCACCACGCTCACCCAGTGAGCTAACCGGCCATCCCTATATGGGATCCGAACCCGTGGCCTTAGTGTTATCAGCACCGCACTCTACCGAGTGAGCCACGGGCCAGCCCCAGTTCTGTTCTCTCTTAAAATAGACTTTTTCATGATTTAAAACATTTTCTTTAAAGCTATGGTTTTACAACACCACGGATTTCAGTAAGTACAACATATTGGCCTTTTTCTGTTGAGCTGCTGTCCAGCCTCTTGGACATGTAAATTGCTTCCATTTTTCCTGGAAATGGAAGCACCTGCCCTCACAGAGCCTGGATTTGTCTAATGCATTCCCATTGTTTGGATCCTGTCTCCCTCTCTGGGTTTCAAACTTCTGACAAGTCAAGTTTGTACCCACCACACCTCACTGGGCAACAGGTGGAGGTAACGAAGGGAAGAATGGAGTTTGGGCATTGGCCCAGGTGCCTGACTTTTGGGACACCCCTGATCTGTAGCAAAATGAAAACCCCTTCCTATAATCCCTGGTGGCTGGCAACTTGCATGTGGAGCAGAGGTTAGGGATGTCCCCAGGGAAGGGGAGGTAGGAGCCTAGGCCATTAAGGAAATCCCAGTAAGACAAGAAGGTCCAGCCTTCCCCTAAGACACTCAGAATAATGCAGGGTCCTCCTCTCTCTCCTCTTCCTCCTCCTCCTTTCTATTGTCAAAAAAATCTTTTAATAATATGGGCAGGGGAGGGAAAGCTCTTCTTTACAGCGGAATGCCAGCTAACACAAATATAGAAGAGTGATTGAATTCAGAATTTTCATTATATAACACTGGTATAATAACAGGCTTGATCATCAACAGATGCTGAAACCTTTAGAGGAAGATCACACTCTCAAAGTACCACTCCCCAAGTTACTTAATAATTATAAAGGAAATGGTGTATATTTACGATGGAGAGATCTGGTAGACGCTTGTTGAACCAAGTATCCCAGTAATGGCAATGGACCAACTGGACATTCTTTTTTTTTTTTTGGTGGCTGACCACTTTGGGGATCTGAACCCTTGACCTTGGTGTTATCACACCGCCAACTGGACATTCTTTCCCTCCAGACAGGACACACTAAGTAAATGGCACTAAGTAAATATTTAGCCTGAATTTAATCATGACCAAAATTATCAATCTTAGAATATGAGTATAGGCCACTGACCAAGGCAATTAACCTGTCCTCAAAAAAAAAAAAGGTCGGTGTCACCATGAACAATGACAACACCAAAAGGTGAGAAGATATTTTTGGTTCAAAAGAACTAGAAAATTGGTCCTGTACTTTTGAACCAGAAATGACAAGACTCAATCCCAGTCTTTGTGGATGTGAGAGGCCCTCTCCTCCCTTAGAGGGAGGAAAAGGAGCTCTGGAGCCACTTTGCCTCGCTGAAGAGGCTTTCTAGTGACTATGAGGAAGAGAGTAGTGGAAGAGCTAATGACCGACACTGTTCAAGTTCACAAACATTCAAGGTCACCCCATTCAGAACCGCTATTGAGAACCTTCTGCGTGCCAGCACTTTGGTGGGTGGAGGGAAGTCTCCATCCTGGAGCACAGTTTGGTCGCCATTGCCTTGCCCATTTATGATCCCAGGGCACGTGCCATCCTCACACTGGCTTCCAAGAAAGGGGGAAAGTGATACCAGGTGTTGTCCAGAAGTCCGGACGTCTGTTGTCTTGCAGTTCTGGAGGACAGAAGTCTAAAATCAAGGCTGGCTGGAGGGTTAGTTCCCTCTAAGGGTGGTGAGGGAAGGGTCTCTTCCAGGCCTCTCTCCTCAGCTTGTAGAGGACCATCTTTTCCAGGTCTCTTCTTATGGTATTCTTTCTCTGTCTGTGTCTGTGTCCAAATTTATCCATTTTATAAAGACACCAGTCATATAGGATAAGGGGCCCACCCTACTCCAGTATAACTTCATCTTAACTAATTACGTCTGCAAGGACCCTCTCTCTAAATAAGGTCAAGTTCTGAGGTACTGGGGGGTTAGGGCTTCAACACCAAAATTTTGGAAGGGACATAATTGAACCCATAATGCCAGGTTAAGGGCATTTTCCAAGAGCTAACCTCAGACTGTCCTGAAAGGTTCATCCTCAGTCTGTTCTGGAAAGTTCTAGCCCATATTGTCTGCAGCTCTGGAATTCAGGCCTCCAAGAGGCTGAGGAAGCCTGTGTCTTATCTACCTGGTCACAGACCCCCTACACCTCCCTCTGCCCTGTTCTGCAGAAACAAACTGAAACGCAGAGGCAAAAGATCCGGTGTCAGCTGGAGCAACTGTGTCAGTTTCTGGAGCAGCAGGAGAAGCTCTTTGTGGCCTGGCTGGAGCAGCTGGACCAGACCATCAGCAAGGTCAGGGAGACATATGGTACCCAAGTGTCCCGGGACATCACCCTTCTCGACGAGCTGATTGGGGAGCTGGAAGCCAAGCAGCACCAGTCGGATTGGGAGCTCCTGCAGGTTCGTGCATCTGGGCCCAGCCCTCCTCTGCCCACTGTACCCATCAGGATGACTTGGGCTCCCAGTGCTGCTGTCAGCTCTGCCAAAGCCAGTGGGTGAGGCTCTTGAGGCCTAGGGTGGGACTTGGTCTTGGTGACCCACATGCCTCTGTGCCCAGACCCTTTTGATGAGGTCTATCAGGAGCCCAGGGTGTCCCAGCATCCAGGAGATCCCTGGCATTGACCAAAAGAGATCAGTGAGGCTTGAGAGCTGTTTTGTTTCCAGCCCCTTAGCATTGAGAAATGCTTCTGTTTCACTGACACCCCGGGGCTAAGAGCCCTGGTAAGGGCAGGGAGCAGCTTGGAGGCCAGGATCCCAGGAAGAGACGCCAGGAATTAGCACAGCATTTAGAAGACTGGTAATGGAGGTCTTCCCTCTTTTCTCTCCTAGGACATCGGAGTCACCTTGCACAGGTACAGAGAGGTCCCATGGTGTACCCTTGGGTGTCTTGTGGGATGCATTTGGGGGAGACAGTCCTAGAAGGGACCTTGGAGGGAGATGCTCCCAACCCCTGGGTCTGTGACTCCAGACTCCTCCCATTTCCTGCAGCTTCCTGTGTCCTTTCTGGATTTGTGTAGGGAGAATGGGACCCTGGTCAGGAGGGAAGGCATAGGGTTGAAGAATGGGAGGAATGAATTCAGCTCATTCTGCTGAAACAAGATGGTGGCTTGCTAAGAAACCTCCAAATGGATTGTGTCCATGAAATTTGCTTTATGAAAACTGCCCCAAACAACTGCTTATAGCCTTGGAGAAGGAAGTGCTTTCCAGGAGTCTCTGGGGAGCCCATCTGGAGTGGAGCTGGGCTAAGCCCAGAGGGCAGGGGAGAGGAGGGACAGGGGAGGCTGAACCTTAGGATCACCTGGGGAGCTTTACAAAATCCTGATATCCAAGCTATGGCCATACCAGTCAAATCTGAATCTCTGAGAGTGGGTCCCAGGCATTAGTGGGGCTTTTAAGTCTTTTTCTGTGGTGAAATATACATAACATAAAATTGACCATTGTAACCATTTTTAAATGCACAGCATTAAGTCCAATCACACTAGCGTGCAACCATCACCACCATCCATCACTAGAACTTTTTCAGCTTCCCAAACAGAAACTCAGCACCATTAAACACTAACACCCCATTCCCCCTCCTCCCAGCCTCCGGCAACCACCATTCTACTTTCTGTCCTTGTGAATTTTATTACTCTAGTTATCCTGTATAAATGGAGTCATACAGCATTTATCCTTTTGGGTCTGGCTTCTTTCATTTAGCATGATATCTTCAAGGTTCATCCAGGTTGTAGCATGGATCAGAATTTTGTTCCTGTTTATGGCTGTATAATAGTTCATCGTATGTATATACCACATTTTGTTTATCTATTCATGGACATTTGGATGATTTCTACCTTTTGGCTATTGTGAATAATGTTGCTGTGAACACAGGTATACAAATATCTACCTGGGACCCTGCTTTTAATTATTTTGGGTATTTTCCCAGAGGTGGAATTGCTGGATCATATGGTAATTCTATTTTTAATTTTTTGAGGATCCTCCAAAGTATTTCCCACAGTGGTTGCAGCATCATTTTGCATTCCCACCAGCAACGTGCAAGGGTTCCGGTTTCTCCACATCCTTGCCAACACTTGTTATTTTCTGTTGTTGGTATTGTTGGTTTTATACAGCCATCCTAATGAATGTGAGGTGGTATTTCATTGTGTTTTTTTTTTCTCATTTACTCTTATTTTTATTTCAATAGAAAGAAAAGGACTAGGCAAGTATAGTTAATATTTTTTTCTTCCTTTTTTTGTCTTTTTTTGTGTCCGGCAATGGATCACAACCCTCAGTGTCGCGCCCGTACCGGACCGGGACCGGCAACGGGATCGCAACCCTCGGTGTTGCGCCCGCACCTCGCTCAGCCAGTGAGCGGGAACTGGTCTGTATGTGGGATCCGAACCCTCAGTGGGAGCGCCTCCGCGCTCTCAAGCGGCGCACTGTAGCAGTGTGCCACCTGGCCGGCCCATAGTTAATTTGACATAGATAATCTAATAGACAATATCAATACCATTTTAAGGCCATTATTAAAACTCATTGCAGTTTTTTTTTTTTTTTTAAAGATGACCAGTAAGGGGATCTTAACCCTTGACTTGGTATCAGCACCACGCTCAGCCAGTGAGCAAACCGGCCATCCGTATATGGGATCCGAACCCGTGGCCTTGGTGTTATCAGCACCGCACTCTCCCGAGTGAGCCACAGGCCGGCCCTGCAGTTTTGATATCAGTGTCTTTTTTTTTTTTTTTTAAGATGACCAGTAAGGGGATCTTAACCCTGACTTGGTGGTGTCAGCACCACGCTCTCCCAAGTGAGCTAACCGGCCATCCCTATACAGAGATCTGAACCCATGGCCTTGGTGTTATCAGGACCAAACTCTCCCAAGTGAGCCGTGGGCCAGCCCCTATCAGTGGTTTTTAAAGCTCCTCAATAGATGCCAATCTGTAGCCCAAGTTAAGGACCAGTGTTTAGAACACTGAGTCCAGGGAGGACTTTTCTCTGCATAGCCAAGCCTGGGTTGGTTATGAGACCATGCCTCACTTCCAGTTCTTGGGGACTCAGGCCACCCCCACACTCCAGCCCTCTCTGGCTAACAGTCACTTGTCTCTAGGGCCAAGACGGTGACTATCCCTGAGCTGTGGACCACCCCTCCAGAGTTAAAAGAAAAGATCCACCTGCTCTACCAGAAATCAGAGTTTGTGGAGAAGAGCATGAAGCACTTCTCGGGTAGGTGGGCTTGGGGGAAGACGAGGGCATCTGCTCACTTCTTTTCTGAGATCCATGTAGCCCAGAGACCCCTTGCTTTCCTTCTCCTTCTCCCATGGCCTTTCTGACTCTGCCATCAGCCTCGCCCTGATTGGTCCCTAGCCGGGGACCTAACTCAAGTTTCTCTCTGCTCCCTTTTTAGAAACACTGCGTTCAGAAATAGAAACTTTCAGCGGTGAGTATGGTGATGGTGGTGTGTGCCGACCAGGGGTTACTGCAATGCTCCCTTATGCTGTTGATTTTGGGGAACTATTTGGAACAGAGAAAAACACCTGGAACACAGGCAGGAGAAAGGTCATGCAGGCCCCACAAGCTCCGTGCCTGGCTCATTGGCTAACTCATTAGACCACAGAGTCCCTAAGGCAGGCCTGGTCCCTGGGAGGAACAGGGTTATACCCAAGCACAGGATGTAGGGCCTTAAGCAGAGGATCCTTGTCTTTCCTTGTTGTGGGGATGGTGTAATTAAGCCCCTCTAAATGGAAATGCTCAGGACTTTTTTTCCCATCTTTTTCTCTGTAGTTCCAGAATTGATTAGCGCTCAGGCACATGCTGGTAAGTGCTCAGATCAAGGTGAGTGGCCTGGATCTTCTGGACCCACCATGTTCCAGAAGAACATCCCTGTCCCTGTTTCCTGGAGATGGGGACAGACCTATGAGGGTGTTGTCCATGGACCTCCATCTAGGAGTTCTAATTCTCTCTGCAGTTAATGTGATTCTGGATACAGAAACTGCCCATCCCAACCTCATCTTCTCTGATGACCTGAAGAGCGTGAGACTTGGAAACAAGTGGGACCGGCTGCCTGATAGCCCAGAAAGATTCGATAGCTGCGTCATTGCCCTGGGCTTGCCAAGCTTCCTCTCTGGCCGCCATTACTGGGAGGTGGAGGTGGGAGACAAGACAGGGTGGGTCCTGGGAGTCTGCAAAGCATCCACGAGCAGGAAGGGGAGCATGACTCTGTCACCAGAGAATGGCTACTGGGTGGTGATGATGACGAAGCGAAACGAGTATCAGGCATCCACCTTGCCCCCAACCCGCGTGCGAATGAGGGAGCCCCCCAGCCGTGTGGGCATCTTCCTGGACTACAAGGCTGGAGACATTTCCTTTTACAACGTGACAGCCAGATCCCACATCTACACCTTCTCCAGCTTCTCTGCCTCTGGGCCCCTTCAGCCTATCTTCAGCCCTGGGACACACGATGGCGGGAAGAACACAGGTCCTCTGATCATCTGTGCAGTGGGTGGCCAGGGGCCTCCCTGAATGCCTAGCGTTGTGTCTCTGTTCTGGCTCCTGGCCTGTGTCCCGCATCCATACACTCGGCAGTCATTACTGATCACCCACTGAGTGCTGGTTGCTATAGGGAGTGTAATGAATAAGCAAATAGTCCCTGTGCCCAAGGAGCTTACCGAATCGTAGCCGAAGTGAGCTAGTTACCAAACATTGCTAAATCAAGGGTGACGACGACACACGTGCCAATGACTTGTGATGGATTTCATAGAAAGAAGTACATGGCTGTTGTATAAGAAATGCTTGGGTGAATTAACACCCTCAGATGCTCCAGGCGGAAGATTCTGTCTTTGTTGCCTCTCAGAACCCCACGCCAAGAGCGTGTCCCTGATTCTTTCCACTCCCGTCTTGAGGACGTGGGAAGCCTAGAGAGAAGACAGTAGACAGGATTGTTATTAAACTATTTTTGTCCCTTTATTGATGAACTTATGATTCTTAAGAGTATTGGCTGGTCTGCATGAATCAATCAATTAGAAAATTTTGAAATACTTGCATTTGTCACTCAATACGTCACTGTGGGATTCCATTTTCCTACTGTATACCACGAAAGAGATGGGGCTGCAATACTGGAAAAAACATTTGACATATATTCAAAGTGTCAGATTATTCTGTCTTGGTTTGTATTGGAAAGTCTGTAGGCCTGAAGGATGGAAGGTGTTCGGCTTCACACATCTCCTCTATTGTTCCCATAAAGAGATGTAAAGGGAAGGGATTTAAGAAGAAGAAAACAGATCCAGGGCCGGCCTGTGGCTCACTCAGTAGAGTGCGGTGCTGATAACACCAAGGCCACGGGTTCGGATCCCATATAGGGATGGCCGGTTCGCTCACTGCCTGAGCGTGGTGCTGACAACACCAAGTCAAGGGTTAAGATCCCCTTACCGGTCATCTTTCAAAAAAAAAAAAAAAAGAAAAAAAAAAAAAGAAAACAGATCCAAATGCAGACTGATCTTCAAACTCCTATCCCAACTCCTCTGTCTTCAGTACTAGTCTAGATTGAACTCACAGGCTCCCTGTGGTTATGACTAGAGTACAAAAACACATGCTGTGCTTTCTTTATGGAGCTTTAGTCTACATGTAATCCACATACCAGCAAAGTTCAAGTGCCCTATTGCTTAACTGTTACCTATGGTTGGTCACTTGTTACTCTTAATTCTCCCTTGTTATATAAGCTTCCCATGAACAGCCTTGTGTATATTTTCCACTACCTCCCCATATACATGTTTTTTCTCTTGTGTTACTCCTGAAATGGTTCCTGAATGAGAAATATTTGATAATACTTTCTACAGTTTGCCATACCACCCTTTGGAAAGATTAGAAAACTATTTCATGCCCAGAGCAATGTCTGTCATTTAAATATTTTTGCTGATTTAATAGGGATGTAGTGGGGTCTTACCTCTATTTTATTTCATTACCTGTCAATGAGGCTGTGAATTTTTCCAAGTGAATTTCTGCTTTTTGCTTCAATCTGTAGAAATAGTACAACTCCTTTGGCTACTTGCTATTTGGAATCTAGATATTGGACTTAATTGTAGTGCTTCTTTAAAAATATTAATTAATTAATTTATTTTCGGTGGCTGGCTGGTTACAGGGATCTGAAATGCGAAAATATTTTAGATAGTAAACATTTGTGTCTATCAGATGAAATTTCCCTGCCAGATGGTTTTTTTAATTGAGATATAAATCACATACCATAAAATCCACCACTTCAATGTGTAAAATTCAGTGTTTTTCAGTGTATTTGTGACATGTGCAAACATCACCACTACCTAATTTCAGAACATTTTACTACCCCCAAAAGAAATCCCATATACATTAGCAGTGACCATCTATTTTCCCTCTCTCCAGCCCTTGGAAACCATTAAGCTACATTCTGTTTCTATGGATTTGCCTATTCTAGACATATTGCATAAGTGGAATCATACAGTATGTGGCCTTTTTTGATTGGCTTCTTTCACTTAATATAATGTTTTCAAGGTTCATCCATGTTGTAGCATGTATCAGTGTTCTATTCCTATCTTATTGCTGAATAAACCACATCTTGTCTATTCACTTAGTTGATGAACATTTGGGTCGCTTTCACTTTTAGGCTCCTATGTTTTTGCTTTTTTATTTTTTTGGTGGTTGGCCGGTACAGAGGGATCCAAATCCTTGACCTTGGTGTTCTAACACTGAGCTCTAACCAACTGAGCTACCCAGCCAGCCCACTTTTAGGTTCCTATGAATAATGCTACTATGCATGTATGTTTTTTGTGTGGACACGTTTTCATTTCTCTTTAATTTATACCTAGAAATGGAACTGCTTGTTCATATGGTAACCACGTTGAGGAACTGACAAATTGTTTTCCAAAGTGGCTGGACCATTTTACATTCCCACCAGCAGCATATGAGTATTCCATTTCCTCCACATCCTCGTCAACAACACTTGTTAGCTTTTTCATTACAGCCATTATAGTGTGTGTGAAGTGGTGTCTCATTGTGGTTTTGATTTGCATTTAACATCTTTTAAATAGGATTTTCTTTCTTCACCTTGTTTTATTTCTAGCTGATCAAATATTAAATTCTTAACTCACCTTTCAAATATTTGGGGTTTTTTTTCAATTATGAAAGCAACACCCATTATTTGAAAACTTAGGGATTTATAAAACATAAAAAGTGAAAAATCCCCTCTAGTCCCAGTCCTTAGAGATAACTACTATTAACTCTTGAATATTCCTCCAGTTAAAAAAAATTTTTTTAATGACATCATATATACATGTATATAAAATACTGTCCTGTAACTTGCCTTCTTGCTTAATTTATCTTTTTAATAGGTTTTCTTGGGGGGGGGGGGAAGGCAGCTGGCCGGTAAGGGGATCCAAACCCTTGACCTTAGTGTTAACAACACCATGCTCTAACCAACTGAGCTAACTGGCCAGCCCCCTTCTAATGGTTGCATTGGATGCCACTGTGTAATCATAGTTTAACCAATTTTTAACATTTCAAAAAAAGCTATACCATCTCTGTTTTTTAATAAGTTCTGAGAATTGAATATTTTAAAGTTTATAAACATTTTACTTTTTAAAATAGAAAAGTGCCATGTTGCCCTCTTAAATAATTGTATTAACTTGCTTTCAGAATACTGAATATCATTTTTATAATTCTTGTTGTATTTTAAATTGTATTTCTTTAATTATATGACAATGACCATCTTTTCATGAAAAAAGACATTTGTAGGTCTATATATTGTGTTTATACCCTTAAAGTCTGATATTATTTCAAACCCATTTGTGACATACTGATCAGCTTTTTAAAACAGGATGCCATCAAATTTTTAAAAATCTTTATCATTCTCTTTACCTTTTTTCATTTTAAGGGTTTTTTTTTTTTTAGTTAAAAAATTGATTCTTGCACATTAAATGACGTGACACAATCCCCAAATGCTTAATTTTCCTTTATATTCCCCTCTATTTACATTCACCACCCACGAGTAATCATTTTGTCTAGTGTTTATCCCTCCATACAAACATAAACGGGGCGTTTCAAAAATATAACTATGCATTATGCACGTAACTCTGGACTTGCTTTTTTTCATTTCATATTTTACGGCCATCCCTCCAGGTCTACATATAGTTCTAATCCATTGTTCTTTATAGCTGTGTAATTTCCAGAGTATGGATGCATCAATTTATTCAACTTATTGTTTCCAGATTTGTTTGGGTTTTTCTTTCTTTTTTTGTTTCCGGTTTTTGTCGCTACAAAGAATTCTACAAGAAATTTCTAGAGACTAGATTTACACATGAGATGGCGAAGGTCAAAGGGTACATACGTGTACTTTTGATTTTAATATATATTACAAGACAGCTTCATGCACCACAGTACTAGCAGAGGGAATGCCTACTTCTCCACTTGCTTCATTGCTTTACAGGTGAAAAATGGTGTCCTCTATTAAAGTGATGATCTTGACTAGCAGTGTTGTTGAGCATCTTTTCAAATGTTAATTACCATTCAGTTCTCCTTCTCTGTAGAACGGCTATTCATAGCCTTTACCTTTGTCTTGTCAGTTGGCAGGGCTCATTAGTGTTGGGAATATCTAATTCTTTGGCTTATTTTTAACAATTATTTTCCAGTCCACTACTTGTTTGACTTTTGCACGTACTGTTCTTCTCTACTAATCCGTTTGTTTACTCACAGTTCAAAACATACAGCTTTAGTTAAAAGACGGTTTTTTAAAAAAGCAAATTCTGTGTCTGGAAAGACATGTATTCCCAAAATTTTTGGTGCCACGCAGCTTCCATACTTGTTTCTTTACAACATATTTCAAACCATGGTTGAGTCATGTATAGCGTTAACAAAAAGTATACATTTACATTTTCATTTTTGTCATCCTGCTGGAGGCTGGTGTTACATAGAGTAGTAAGACAATGCCTGCCATGAGTTGTCCCAGCTCTGATCAGTGCCTCACTGGGGAATGCACCGAGTATGGAAACAACTCAGGGACAAAAGACACTGTTAAGCCTCCGTGGGAGGCTGAAGTTGAGAAAGGAAACGGTGCGAGAAGGACGACGTAGAAGCTGGCAAGCTGGGGCAGGGAAGGGTCGCCCGGCTCTTGGCGCCGGGGCGCCCCTAGGACAGGGAAGCAGCCTACGCCGACCGCACCCTCACCGCCTCCGCAATCCTTTAACCCTCTCCGACCCTGGAGCGGAAACCGCAGCGACCTCGATTAGACCTTCCGGTCCGCCACAGAGACCGCTTCCGGTCGAGACGGGTGAGGGGGGAGAGGGGAAGGAAGCCTGCCCCGCCCCAAACACCGCGCCTGGCGGTCTCCCATTGGCTGTCTGGAGCCGAACTACATTTCCCAGCCAGCCCTGCAGTTAGCCCGGCTCCACTTGGAGAGGTGCCAGCCCGTCATGGAGGACTGGAGCCAGCGTTCTGCTTCCCGTCTTCCAGGTAGAGCCACAGACAGAGCAGCTGCCGCTGGCCTGGCCTCCTTCGGGCCCTGAGAGCGTCGTCGGCAGGCCTCGAGCTTCGCCTTCTTGAGCTCAGACTGCTCGCTCCGAGCGAGGAGACCAAGCTTCCGCACCGGAAACGAGGCACCGGGCGTGACGTCACGGCTGCGGAGACGCCCGGCCTCCCAGCAGGCACCGTGTCCCGCCTGACGGCGGCCTGTGAGGGCGCTGCGAAGGGTGAAGGGACGGCTCGGCGACTCACGCCCTGTTTCTCGGTCTCTCCCGGAGCCTGGGTATCTGAGCCGTCCCTGGCGAGCGCCCGAGGGCGGCAAAGCCCCGAGAGGTGAGGGGCTCCGCGAGGGTGAGGATCATGGTGGGGCGGTCTCTCACGGAGCGTTGCCGGGGGAGCCGGACGAGCCAGGGAGCCGGTGCGCGCCTCGGGCTGGGCTGCCGGCCGGGCTTTGTGGTAAAGGTCCCCCCTTAGCCGGTGGGAGAGGCCCCAGAGTGGGCTTGGACTAGTGGGCCTTAGTGAGATGTCTCCTGCCGCTCTCTACAGGGCTTTGACGGCGAAGGGGAGTGTATCGGATGCCTCGTGCAGCCTTGCGTTTGCTTCCTTGGCGAGTCTTCAGTCGCCCCCGGAAGAGCAGCTGGGGGAGCCGCGGTCCGAGGGGCACAATATGGGCAGCTCTAGTGACCAGTCTGCTTCTGAGCAGGTGCCCTCGTATTGGACCCCAGATTTCCTGTTCTGTCGCCCATTACTCTTTCTATAAGCATGAATTAAACTGCTCTTCCAGCAGGTTTTCCACTTCGTATTTCCCGGGAGGATGCCAGCCGCCTTTGCTCCCTGCCATTTGACCGTTGAGACTTGAACATCCTCTGTTTTTCATTCTTAGAATCTTCTTTTCAGGTTTTTCAAAGAGTATTCTATTCAGGGATCTTCCGTTTCAGTTATAATTTCTCTTCCCCGGCTGTCTTTCCTTTTTGATTTAGATCTCCTGTGGCCTCCCAAGCCACATATTGGAGTACAGTCATTCATTGCCTGGTCTTGTGAGTAATCCATGGTTTCTCTGTCTGCAGCTTGGCTATCTGGCAGATTTTCTTCAGTAAGAGGTGGCTCTTGAAGCCTCTAGGAACGAGAGTGGTCTGTGGTTGCAAGGCATGATGGCTGCAAAAATATTTACTATGCCCCTGAAGTCAAAGCAGTCCTTTATACTGAGAGTTCCTCCAGACTCTAAGCTGGGCCAAGACCTACTTCGAGATGCCGCTAGCGGGCCCAAGACCATCCACCAGCTGGTGCTGGAGCACTTCCTCACCTTCTTGCCCAAGCCAGGCCTGGTCCAGCCTAATCAGAAGGTCAAGGAGACTTTGGTTATTATGAAGGACGTGAGCTACAGTCTTCAGAACAGAGGTGAGAAACATGAGCTCTTTTCACTAGAAGAGAAGAGGGTGGTCCTGGGGGCTGAGATAGGCTTCCGCGTTAGTAATGAATTAAAGTTCGGATGGTGGGTATTATAAAAGGAATCAATTCTAATACATTGACAGGTTGGGAAGGGGAGGTACTTTCTTCTCAAGCTGGAGCTTGAATGATATGCCGAGATGTGTAAAGCCACAGAATAAACAGTTTGTGTCTTTCTACAGTGTCAATTTTACCCAAACTGGGGGGGGGGGGGGGGAA